TATCTGACAGGCTGAATTCATATGCCAGATTGTTTTGAATAATGAATCAAATAAGGTAGCTATAAGAAAGTGAAATGCTCCCATACATGTGAGTCAGAGAACATGCATTTTCTCATTGAGAAGTCAAATGAATATCACACGATAAATAATTATTTGGGGGAAATTAAAGCATCAAAGCACACATCATAAAATACCACATGGTATCCTAATGATTGAACTATCTGAAGTGACATCAAAAGATATAATGCAGCATCAACATCCTTTTCCCTCCAGTTTTGTTCAAAATAAATAAACAGTCTCTCTCTCCTGAACAAACAGAAAAACAGATTATTCGTTCCTCTCCACGGTCCCTGTCATTACCAAATCCAAGGAAATGTTCGAAGAGATTCAAAGACACTCAAGATTAAAGAGTTATTTGTTCTTTTGAAGCAGTGTTTTTGTCTTAAATCTTCAACAAAATGCGACATGATAACGGTGTTTCCGTAGCGTGGTTTGTGCTGACCCAGAACTGCCAGAAAGGTTGCTGCCCTGACGGCCAGGCTCTTGTCTCAAATAATGAGGAATGGCTCAGTAATGGCACGGCTTCCTTGTAACCTCAAAGGACAGACAGTTTACTTGCTTGTATTTCAACTGATATTTCTGTATTATTTTGTGATGTGAAAAAAAGAAGAAAAAGAAGGTGGCTTTGTTTTGTAGCATCTTTTTATGGTCTAGTTCACTTCAAATCTATCTTTTCTAGTGTCTTTTTCCCCCCTTCTAATCTATATCAAGGATGCTTCTGTGTTGAATTGTGTTGATTTTGATGTAGCGATATCACAGTTATTGTCTTCTACATCTGTCGTCTTTGCCATTTCTTTTTCTGTTGATATGTATCAGTGAGTGCATTAAACTTCCACCTTTCCTCATATTTGGTAACACTTGTTACATTTAATAGTCATACATGAGTTACAATGCTCTGATGTGATGCTTGGATTTCAGTTAAGCTTTGAATTCCAAAAAACGCTCATTGTTCTTGCTTTTATTAGCTGCTCTATCTCTTAAGATTCATCAGGCATATCTCAGTGTGCTGTGTGCATCAGTGCATCTCTTTCCTCATCTACCCCAGAGCCAGCAGAGAATCACACTGCCCCCTAGTGCCCACGGTCATTAGTAACACAACAGAATTTATTGTGCAGCCGTCAACCAGACAATACCCTGGTACTCTGCCAGTGGCTCGATACCAAGATCTGTCATGGGCAGCGATGCACGACAATAGATTCTACTGATTGGAGTGGTGCACACTCCTGGCTATGACACCGGCCTGCCGCTCGCTATCGAATGGCTGTTTCCCTCTCTCTCTCCAGTCACAAGGCCCCTAATTCAGCAATCAATGCTACTCATTTTAATAGCACCTCTGCTGTTGCCCCAAGGAGACAAGAGGAGAAATCAGGGTAAACCACTGTCAAATCATTCTTTGGAGGGTGAAGACCGCAATCATGGCTTGGATGGATCTCTAAAAATGACTTCAAAAGTGTGGATTCATATAAAACCACCATGCAAATGATATGCTATGCCCTTAACACATAATAATGACACTTCATGATACAGAGTAGAGACATGTCTACATATGACTATAGGGCCACACTTTCAGTATATCCCTTTAATAAAAGCTTTCACCCAGCATCCTTTAGTCTGTTTTTAGCTAACTTATCACTTGCTTTCCAGCCACAAGATGCAATGTGAGCTCAAGCAGCCATAGGCTCCTCTAAAGACATCCTAAGTAAGTGCTCCAAATGACAAGACAGACTAAATACCCCCTAACAAACGATACAAGACCGCAGAAAGCGCTTTAACAAAGGAGGTATGTAATGAACCCCTTGTGCCTTCTCCCCAATATATCATCCTGAGTGAATTTGCCAACATCACTCTCTTTACCTGCAAGAACGGTAAATGAGAATTTATGCACCCGCTACTTTATCATTCTTTACTTTTTTCACCCCCACAAGGTATCCATGCCATGCTAGACAGATTTTTCCACCAAAGGCAATATCCTCTCGTAGTAATTATATCAGAGCGAGAGAATGGCTCATTAACATGTGCTAGGCATGTCAGGAATTTACAAGCGCCTTTTGTAGATGCCTCTCGTCAGTGTAGGCCTACTGCTCCCCTCCGTATGGTGTCTCCTTTGAGGATGCAACCTCCTCATTTACATAGATGTCAATCAAGCTGTGGTTTTTAGAATTGTTCTGTACAAAACACATGACTCTATATATGGCAATCATAAGGGACAGCTCAGTGATATGGAAAAAGTGTGTGTGAGCACATGTGAGGGTTTGACTATGTGTTTTGTGAAGCGACATGATGAAAACAAAGCGATGGGGGCAAAATTATCTTGATGGTGTGTCATCAATGTGGAGTGGGTGAAGTGACTATATTTGCTTTTCTGCTGTATGCCAAAGAGGGATGTGTGTTAGTGTGAATACATGCATAAAGCTTGACACCAGACACCAGACCGACTAACAGTTAAGTCCTGCAGGCCAATGAGCTATAGTGGCGCCGCTGCTGCTGCTGTTGCTGCTTTACAGCTTCAGGACCCAACATCTGCTGCCTTCAAGAATGCACGTAGGCCACTGTTGGCCTTTCACCTAATAGCATGGTGCCAGCAGAATGGAATGACCTATTTATTAGCCATGGTCATATACACCCCTTAAAAACACAATGTCAATTTCCATTTTTAGGTTATTATGTAAATCTAGTGAATATTTACTGAAGTTATATATAATTTATAGTGTAATTCACCCTTGAACAAAATGGTGTGTGTGTAATCTTAGTAATGGGAAGTCTTTAAAAAATTTGAATGTAAATGTGTGAACATACAACTCCCTTCCAGTACTGGAGGCTGGGGAGCCAAGTCTGTAACGGTGTAGCCAAGAAAAGTTTCCCTGTGAAGTGCAGTGTATTGATAGTAGAGTTGGACTTAATTATGGTTCCCAGTTTTCTATAATAACATAACATTTTACTGAAGAATGCTTGCACAAATTTGAAAGCTTTAGGGTGTAAAACAAATACTGCTGAATGCAAGTTTCATTTAAAGACTAGTTTAACCTTTTGGGAAATACGCTTGTTTGCATTCTTGCCAAGAGTTAGGTGAGGATGTCTATACCACTATCATGTCTGAATGGTAAATATGAAGCTATAGCTAGCAGCTGGTTAGCTTAGCTTAGTACAAAGGCTGTAAACAAGGGAAAACAGCTAGCCGTGCTCTGTGGGAGATAAGAAAATCCACTTACCAGCATCTCTAAATTTACACTTATCTTCCTTCTGTGATACCACTGAGACTAAGGAGAACACTGGTAGCATCTCTAAAGCTAGCCACTTTCCTCCTATTTCCAGTTTTTGTGCTAAGCTAAGCTATCTGGCTGCTGGCTCTGGCTTCATACTCACCGCACATGATAGTGATATCACTCTTCTGATCCAACTCTTAGCAAGAAAATGATTAAGGGTATTTCCCAAATGTTGAACTTTTCCTATCTTCACATGAGAGAATTGACCCTATATACTCTGATGAAACTTGGTCCTGCAGTGAAATCCTGATTGTTAAAATGTTGGAGACAATGCTAATCACATGACATGATGATGGGCTGCATATTTCCAAATATACATTATAGTAGGCTATAGACATAATTTATTAAATCTTTATTCAAAATTAAACAAAAATCGATACTATGAAGGGAAAATGCACTAGCTCAGATGGTGCTGTGCCACAGTGGCCCAACGAGGCCAAGACAGCCTGGTATGGTGTTTAGGTCCACCACACTGGCTGACTTGGCCCCTATGCTTGGCCCACTGCCCTCATACTCTGACTGACAGTAAACTAACTAAGCTGACTCGGGAAGGAATTTAGGCTGTTCTGAAAACACAAACTCATACATCCACTTAAACAGATGGCAGCCTCACTTTAATTTGTCTGTGCTGTAAATGGACAGTAGCTGTGGAGTTGACTTTTTAGGAATGAATAAGGCAAGTGAAAATGGACAAAAGAAATCATTTTAAAAAGATATAGATCCATTGGCTGGGAGTGAAAAAGTGACGTAACAGTGGCAAATTATAACAGGAGTTAGACAGAAAACCTACAAAGTGAGATAGAGCTAGAGAGAAAAGTAATTTTGTGTTTGAATGAGTCTGGTCTTTTGCCCCGGCACATGTCATTGCAGTGACTGAAGAGCCAATGTCCATTTCCATCACCAACTGCTCTCTCTATCTTTCTCTCTTTCTTTCTCATTCTTTGTCATTGCCTTTTCCCTTTAAGTGCACTTTCGCCCACACCACTTGGAAATTGATTGAAACAAAATGTCACAATTATGCCCTGTAGCTCGCCGCTTCAATTATTCATCAATTAGGGGCTAGGCTCCTTTTTTTCTCTCCTCTGATCTGATTTTTCATTCAGTTTGCTCGAGATGTATGGCTCCCCTGCTGTTAACCAGTCCAAAGTCATTAGTTTCTGGGTTTGCAATTAAACCTGATGCCTTATGCATGAGGCTCCGACTCAGTAGACACACGCAGCAGCGGCCGCAGCAGCTAGCGAACGAGCTGCTCTGGAGGCGTGGATGGGAAATTAATTTGCTAGAAATGAAGTTCTCTCTCTCACTGTGCCTCTCTCTCTTTTTCTCTCTCTCTCTTGTGTGGCAGGTAGGAACAGATGCCACTGGCTGGAGATGGAGATAGAGATGGGGCAGCTATAGAGTCTCAGTACAGCTTGATCATCACTGACAAGGAAATAGGATCTCACTAGATTTACACACCCAAAATACGTGTTGAAGATATATTCTAGCAACATTGTCATTAAGGTATCACTAGAATTTTGTCAGCAATGTGTGACTTTACTGGGTCTATATCCTCAGTTGCCAGTTGTACACCTTGCTACAACTAATGCAAATCTAATGCAACAGTCCTGCAACAAACCCTAATTTAATGAAGGTTATAATGTCACATTTTTGTTAAAACTGGTATTGGTTCAACTTCATGATCATTCTGTAATTGTATAATGTAACACAAAATACTATAGTTTAAAATTAAACTTAACTGTAATGGTTGAGCCATTCAAGGACAAAGGTTTTGTATAAGTAGTACACAGTAGTAAGCAAAGTCACCATGTACAGACCTATTATACAGATTTTATTATTAGGAATTTTATGAAAGCTATGCTTGGCACACAGCATAAATATACTCGACATGCTATCATTATTAAAACATTTTTCAGTGTTCTTTTGATGCCACCTAGTGACCACGGAGTCAAACGGCATCTGTGAGATGTTTGAAGGACAAAAAACTCATATACTGGAAATCATAGCACCATATTAATATACTTTAGCACATCTAACTACTGCCAGAAATGCACTGTCTTGGTGAGGTTTATTGTTAAATGTGTGTATTAATAGATATGTGTCCATTGTGATTGAGATAGATAGTAGCTATTATTACTGAACTTGTATTTATCTTGCAGCAATACCATAGTAGGAGTGTCCATCTGTATTAAAGCACTTGTACGAACAAAGAAGGGCGCGCACTGGAATAGTCAGCGAACTCCTCGTTTTCATGTCCTGTAACACACATAAACATGACAAAGCACATCTAAATGCATGAGCCGCTATATATTTACCCTATTTCTGTGCAGATCACAAATATTTAAGAACATCTTTTCAAACCTTCTTCAGATTGACAAAATGCACACACTCCAGCCAGGTGGTGAGGAAGGGACCCAGGCAGAGCGCACAACAGCTGCCACTGGCCAACAGGGTGGTCAGGAGTGGGTAGTGGTGAAGCATCCTGTGGACCAGAGACGACCTGTTCCTGTTCTCCTGCAAGACAAATCTGGCAACCAGTTCCTGGCAGACAAAGATGAAGCAGGAATAATGAGATGCAAATACACCAAATATAATGTTACTGAATAAACACAAAGCCATATTGTGAGCTATCTTGCATAGTGGATGATAAATATGGTAAATGTCTGCTGTTCTGCTTCAGTGACACTTTACCTTTAATGTAAGCACCTCCACATCCTGCACTGACGATATCGGCTCACAGCGCACAAACCTGTTGCCTTCATAGTAGAGCTCCTTCAGGGGCAGCAGGTGAAACTACACAGAGCAATGTCCTGTGTCATTCAGTGAGGCGGTGATTAAATTTTTTGATTTCACTATGACACAGCATTGTGCTGCTGAATTAGCTAACAACCTACCTCAATGGGGAACATAGACATCTTGTTCCCAGCCACATCTAGAACCTGGAGTTTTGCCAGTGCCCCAATTCCCTGAGTGAAATGTAAGTGTTTGGTCATGTAGCTGCCACACAATGTGTGTGCAATAAAATGGTAAACTGAAATTAGAACTTGACTGTGACAGCATATGTGGGTGTGACTTAATATCCTAAAAGCTACCTTGTTTAAATATGAAACCATATTCTTTCCGTCCAATAGGTTCAAGAAAATAATAGTTTAGCCATAAGTTACCACATATTCATTTAGATAAAGAATTTCACTTGCATTGCTTGAAGTCAAATAAACATGCAAAAACTGCTAAGTGTGTTTTTTGTTTTGTATGAGCTGAGGACAAATGCATTTAAAAATCCCACTAGTGAATACCCACCTCTGGTAGGCTGGTCAGCTTGTTTCTGGCTACATATAACCTGGTTAGTTCTTTACACTGGTACAGCTGCTGAGGTAGCCAGGACAAATTATTGGATGTCAAGTTTAACTCAGACAACATAGTGAGATGACCCAACTCAGCAGGGACCTCCTCCAACTGATTGTCCAGCACACTGAGATGTTGAAGCCGTCTCAAGCTAATGGGAGAGACAGATTTGAATTTGTGTTTTTAAACACAGAAATACATTATTCGTAACCACTTTACTATAATAGAGTTAATTTAGCATTGATGTACAAATATTAATTCATTAGTCATCTTCAAAATCTATTATTGCAAGGAAGGATATCTTGAATACCATGGTGCCATACCTTTTAATCTCAGGTGGAAGTCTTTGAATCTGGTTGTGGTTCAGATTGAGCACAACAAGGTTGTGTAAACCATCTGTAACACATAATAAAGGGGTTCATTTTAGCTTTGTGTTTTTTATCAAATCTTCAGAGGTGCTTATCAGGCAGAACAGTGAGGACCTACCTATGACATCAGGTGGCACTACTGTAATTTGGTTGCTGAACAGATACAGTTTCTTCAAGGACTCCAGATGGCCCAAAACAGCAGGGACCTCCTTCAAGGCATTATTTCCCAAATTGAGCTTAACCAGCTTGCAGGGATTGTATGAATAAAGGTGTTATTTTGGAAAATGTCCAGCAAACAGATGAGCTCGGAGCAAACAAACGGAGGAGACTCACGCGTTGTAAAGAGAGCAGCTCGGCAGGCAGGGCGCTGATGGAGTTGTTGTTCAGCAGCAGCACTGACAGGTTTGATAATCGGGAAACACACCCGGGGACGTCCTTTAGTTTTTTGGAATTCAAATTTAAAGAAGTCGCTTTACCATAATAAGCTCTGGCCACTGACTCCATGGCAAACTTTGACAACTAACATCCAGCACTCGCCTTAAAGTTTCCATGGCGACAAGACGCTTTTTGACTTGTCATGAGGATTTGCGTTGAGGCAGAGCGACATCTAGTGGTGACAGCTGAATGGCATATACTTCAATGAGTTCAATTCAATTAAAAAATCCATCATTAATCCCACAACGGGATTAAGTTAATATAAGAGAAGAGAATAAAATGGATATTCAGAATATATAGAGAAAATATTATTTAGGCAACATCTTCTTTAATTAGATTACTTAACAATTACATTTAAGTACATTTTAGTATTTTAGTATTTTAGTTTATTAAGTATACTGTTAAGTAAGTTTGTGGACAAATTTACATAAACACACACGTGCGTGCGAGTCATCAGACAGCATGTTACAGGGAGAGGGTAACTTTGTTGTTTATTTCACTACACATGTTTTTGAAGCATATCATATTGCATGACATCCATTTTTGCTTCTTTTGTCTTATTGTTACTATTTACCCCCAGCATGTGTTACAACATACCCTGGTAGTAGGGTAGGTTGTGACAAAGTAACACCATGTAACTCAGGAGGTCTGCGAGATTTTTGAGGACTGAATTGGTGCCATTTGTAGTAAACAAATGTGGGTACTTTGTAAAAAGGTTTGAGAACTCTAGCAAAAAAATTCATTGAGTTATAGTTGCTGAAGCAAGAAGTGTTACAACCATACCCGTGTCCCCTATCTACAGTACATATTATTGCATGGTCCTGTTGTATGTGTGTTTATTTTTTGATATATGTCCAATTCAGTTTTAACTGCACAGCATTTTCCAGTGGTGGAAGAACTAGCTCATTTACTTCAGTAAAAGTAGCAATAAAAAACTACAGAAGTATTATGAGCAAAATGTGTTTAAATTATTAAAAATAACTCAAGCAGAATGGCTGCTTTAGGTGCAATGTTATATATTTTAAAGAATTATAATTACTGATGCATTAATGTGTAAGAAGCGTTTTGACATAGTTGGTCAAGGAGCTAGTTTTAACTATCTATTATACTGTTGGATAGTGTAGGAACTATTTATTATTTGTTCAAGTATCTGCTCCTTGAGCTTTATATTAAATTTTCTTTTGGTACAGGTCTGGGTTTTGGTTTGTAAGAATTGGGAGGCACCACAGGTTTGTCTTTTTACCAGAACGAAAGGGAGGAGCCCTGGTATCTTATTTTATTGCTTGCTTTGCCTAGGATTGGCTATGAACCACATGAAAAACTCAACAACTTCATTATGGACCTCAGACTTCTTTTGCCTGCATACAATTATTTCCAAAAGTGTGGTGCATCAGTGACCTATTAGAATAAAACTTAACATGTTTTGTATTTAAACTCTAATCTAAAAAGCAACTACTAACTATAGCTGTTAATATTTATGTAATCAAGTATAAAGTACAATATTTCCCTCTGAAATGTAGTAGAATTTAAAGTAACAAACAAGAAATACTCAAAGTACCTCAACATTGTACTTCAGTACTTTCCACCACTGGCATTTTACAGTATTTTATGACAAATTGCAAAGCAGTGAGTGTATGATTATAAATATGTTCTGTAGGCCTCCAGTATGTGTACAGTTTACCATATGCAGACATATGTTTAAACCATTTTTCTGTATGAAACTGACAACTGGAATTAACCTGAGGGAGACCATTTGTGGTCAAAATGTCATGTGTGTAGAATTAACGAACAGGAAAGACTGGTGCAGCTGTGTGCAGGTATTTCTTCATCTTTTTGTTCACATTATTTTTGTTAAATACCTGAAAATAATTCAAAGCGTATGCCTTCTGATGATCACCTTAAGTTAAAAATAAATAACTAAAATAAAGCAGTCACATACCTTTTTAGTATTGTATATGTTTATGTAACACGTAATGTTTTACAAGTTCAACAATTCAGTTCATTCCAAGAACACTGCAAAAGTTCTACAACCTCTCGGTGACTCTGTTGACATTTGGTTGAGTGACATGCATAATCAACAGCTCTTACATCCTCTCCTGCCCAAGTGAATTTAGATACACAGTATTTTGCCACTACTTCCTAAAATGGGCTGAAGGAAACCCCGGGGGTCCCTGAGATAGCCCGAGGATGTCCAGTGTAATATCATTAATTTCATTTACATGGTAATTTTTCAGAAGTGATGGATTATATTAGATTTCACTCTCCCCAATGATATCTTTTGACTTCTTAACAGAAAATTGCCATTGTGTGTTTATCCCATTTTGAAATCAGCAACATTCTCCGTTAACCTCAGCTTAACAGTATCTTCAGTGGGGGGTGAGGTCCTCCCTCTAAAATACGTTTGTATTTAGGGGCCCTTGGTGTGAGAGGCTCGAACACTCTCAGCATTACACAGACTCGTTTAAGTCACACCAAGACTGAGCGGTCTCTCAGCTGTCCTCTGTGTTGACTGGGTCCTTTAGCCGCTCCACAGAATTATAATGCTCTCCTAGTCCATAGGCATGACGCATATAGCTGCAAACAATGAGAAAATATGTTTAGGACTTATTATTTAATATTGTTTATGCACAGATATGCTGTCTACAGCTGCTTTAGAGTGCTGCATGATAGCCATGATGTTATCAGTTTCTTAACATTTACATGCATACATGAGGATCCAAACCTGCCATATTATGTCCCTCATAAACAAGTACAGTACATGTTTGGAATATCAGTTACTCAAGTTTACACTGATCGTAACTGGTGAGAGGAACAGCATGCTCTATGAGAGAAGACGTTTGATAAGCCTTTCATAAATGCTTAATTTACATAATTACAGATTATATTTAAACTTGCAACAAATGCCTTGACTAGTTTCATCAGGTTTCAACTGTTGTAAATACCGCTCTAATTTATATGTAATGTTTTCAGCTTCATATTTTATTACACATTTTTCTACTATAACTGTTAATATTTGAACAATTCTGCCTATCCTACGTGATCTTGAACAGATATAGCAACGTACACGAGGGTGATGGATTCACCGTCAAATTCCTCCCCAATTTTTATAGTTGAGGAGTCAGCCTGGATCACTTCTATTGGCATGTGAAGAACTTGGGTCAAAGCTCGCAACTGTTGGGGAAAGAGTCATGGAAAGGAAAATCATTATCGAAAAGCACAAGGAGCTTTAAAACACAAATACCATTTGCCTTAACCATTAAATTGTGCTGTTCAAAAGTTATTGATGTGCCATTGGAGATCTATAAAGATGGAAAAGATAACTTTTTCCTTTAACCAGAGTATGCACATTTACATCCAACACTGGGGAAAGTGGGTGTAATATGTCAAACCTCTGAGACCCAATTTTGTTGAGATAATGAATTGAAGGAACATCCATGAATTTTACTTTTTTGTCTGTCTCTTTAATACACTGTACTGTTCTGTAACTGTGTAAGGCCAAACTGCTATAAACATCTTTATTATGCTTCTTCTTTTATGCCTTTCAATTACGCAATCTCCCTCCTTGGTTGTAAATAGTTATGTTGTGTTACCTTTTCATAGACACTTTATAAGGATGCTGGAATATCCATCTGTACTCACAGTACAGTTCCAACTTGTAACAATGCATTTTGAGTCAGAGACAAGACAAGACAAGACAAAAAAGGAAATGGGGAAAAAGGGACAAGAAGCAACAGCACAGTGTATCTGAGCAAAAACTTCAAACAACTCACTTCTAGTTGTCCACCCCAAGCTGCTGTGTGCTCCACATCACTGCAGTATTTGTCAAACTCATCTGGAAACCAGTACACACACACACACTTTCATGAATACTGTGCATACACATAATTACTTTCTAAAAACATGTCATATGGAATATCTCCGGCTACCATTTAAGGTTTTTAGTATACTTATACCTTTGACAGATTGCTTCTGAAAACCAAAACAAAGATCAAAGTGTTACCTGTTGTGTACATGTCACCAGTGTTGGGGTTGGTGAGGAAAGGCAGGAAGTCATCAGCATGGCTTCTCATGTGCTCAGCAGTGCGGGAGCGCAGTTCTTTCACACTCATGATCAACCCAGGCTAGAATAATACATAACAGAATATAACATGTACTCACTATGTACTCACTGTGTATGAACTTTAGGGATTATAGCAACTCTAGACAGTGCGGTGGCAAAGAGTGTGGTTGGTACACTTTTGCTTATCACATCTCTGATTTGGTATTCAAACTACAGCTACATCTATAATACTTCCACAACAATATGTACCTTCGATCGCTGTGCCAGCTGATCTTCGATGGCACGGTACATGCAGTGGCCATCGGAAGAGATCTCTTTAATCTGAAGCTGTTGCTGGGCGAGTTTCTGAGCCAGCATCAAACCCTCCTGGTGCCTCACACCCTGCAGGTTTTGCACCTCAGCCTCTGCTATCCTGCTCTCCCGCTCCTTCTCCTGGGCAGCCTTCTTGTCCTGGAGAGGATCATTTAAACAAAATGTATTTAATTAGTACTTGGAATCATGACTGAAAAAAAGGAAAGCAAACAAAAATGTTTGATTAAACTACCAATTGTAAATTAAATGTAGAGGAGTAACCAATAATCGTACTTCAGTCTAAAAGGTACCGACATAAATTATAGGATGATAGATAATAGCCTGAAGAGTGCTTCTTCCATCGTTCTCTGAGTGTGTCATTAAATGTATTGCTGTGGGCAATAACAAACAGCACTTAATATGCTCCTATTTGAGGTGGAACCTGTATCTCACCCTTCTCTTCTGGGCCTTGGTTACACGTGGCTGTTTCACATCTTCTTGTTCCCTGTCCTCTGTCTTCATGGTCCCAACTCCATTTATCATCTCTTTCACCTTGTAAGATTGAGTGAGGAGAGCTGTGTTTATGTTGCAAATTGACATTTATCTAATAACACACTTGACATAACCATGAATAATGAGATACAAATGTGACAAAAAAAAAAAGAATTATGTGCAATACTTCGCTAATGTTATGAAGTACCTCCAATGTATTAAACTATGTGCATGTTTAGTACATCCATGTGTCTATTTGGAACAATACATGTGTTCATGACAATTACGTGTTGTGCAATAAATTATACAGGGATTGCATTGAAAAGGGTTTGTCTTTTTAAGGCAGCCATGTCTCCTAATGTAAAGCATAACCGTGACATTTGTCAGTCACCTGAATTCAGACATTTACCTCTGTGTCAGCGGTAGATTTGAGTTGCCTTAATTCCTCCTCGTGTTTCTGGCTGAGGTCAGCCTCTAGTTTGGCAATCTCCTCTGTCAGCTGTTTTCTCTTTTTCTTGTCATTTTTTGGGACTGCATTTTTCATGCTCTGGATTTTAGCTGAAAGTGAAGCACAGGAAAGGATTGTTTGGCAAAACAATATTCAGTAAAGCTTGTGTATACTATATACAGAAAACAACTCTAAGATGATGCTGGATGCTGGTTAGAAAAGCTAAGGTTGAAAATAAATTAGACGGCCAGGATGGCCAAAATGAAGAAGAATACACTCACAGATGATATTAATGAACCTTGATGTTGTTTATTTATTTAAAGAAACTGAAATTTGCTTTCCCTAATTCAAATCTGTTGCTGCACCTCTCCCTGTGAGTTAAAAAAATATATATAGCCTACATAACCTGGCAAAAGTGTAGTATCAAACCTATTTGTCTGGAGACACGCAATGTAACAGCTTGTATTTTGCCTTTAACAGCTGGTTTGCACATGATTGATCAGAATGACGCTATAATGAGAAGCATTAAATCTTCAACCTATACAGATCTGTGCAGTTTTCTGCCATCTATGACTGTGTGAATTTCACCCCTACAGCTACAATCAGCGTGACCTACTACTGAAACACTTTGACTAGTAAACACACCAGAGCATTATAACACTATAATATTACTACATATTATGGGCCTTACATTTTGCTCAGAATCGTCTCCTTTGACTTGATATTTTTATACTACTTGGTTTGATATTGGATAGATTGTCCAAGGAATAAAGCACCAATTTAAATGCAAACAAACTGATAAACTTTAACTACAAAGAGTGCCGAGAGCTGAAGTTCAGGTACCTTGCAGGTCTTTCTTTTCCTTGCGGTGCTGCTTTGCCAGCTGCTCCTCTGGTGTCTCCGCTGTCTCCTCCTCCATGACTGGATGTTGCTCAGTTTGTTCAATGGGTCTTATCGAGCTGTATGAAACAGACCGCCGCTAGACAAACAAAGTGTTATGGTATAAAACGCCACACAACACAGACAACAGATAAAATGTATATTCCACTATAAATAAAATGTGCTGATATCATGGGTGGCTTATCCGGAAGAGAGAGCAGGGCGGAGCTTTGCTCTTCCTCGCCGAGCTAAACTCCGACATTCACTTAACTATACTGACACCTCTTGGCTCGTTGTTATACTACAGTTCCCTCCTCTCAGCAGTCAGTTGTGGGCTTACGTTCAATCACCCTTTCTATAAATATTTATTCAACCCATGTGATACATTTCAAGCACACCTTAGTTTAGGCCAGTGAGAGAACATGCGGTTATAGATACAGGGGACCTGTATTTAGGTCATGTAATCTAATTTTTTATCTGATATTATTTTATACAAACATCACATCACTCTTAGCTCCGGAGTACTTTTTTTCATTTTTAGTCACTGAGTTTTTTTCTACTGCTAGTAGCACAAACTACTTTTGTGCTCACGAGAGAATGGCACTGGCTCGCACAGCTTTCTGAGACTTGAGGCGGTGGCTGTGGTGGGTACTGTCCTTTAGTATCCTTTGGGCTCTGCGCAGGCACCTAACCGATATCACTGATTCTCGGGAGATGGGTACCAATGATCTTCTGAGTAGTTTAATCACCCGCTGCAAAGCCCTTCGGTCCTGGCCTGGGCCGTGCACATCCCATGCCAGTTTGTGATGTTTTCAGTCAGGATGCTTTCTATTGCTCCCGATTGCTCCTCTGTAAAGGGGAATTTAGCCTTCTTAAACTTCCTTAAGAAATACGGTCGTTTTTGAGCTTTCTTCACTAGCTTGTAAAGTTCCTAGGGTATAAATATGTGTGACTATTGCCAATATATTGACAATGCAATATTTTCATATTCGTTGTGTTATATAAATATAAAGTAATGAGTAATTATTATGATTATTAAAATATATTTATTTGGCGTTATTGGTAGCGGAGGGCAGACGCGCTGTGTGACGTGGCACGTGGGGCGGAAGAGGTTGTTTGTGTTTTGGTTCTAAGGGGAAGTTGCGAGAAGAAAGAAAGGAGGAGACGTGACGGGATTGTTGAATTTATTTTCTTGGTTCCCCAACATCACCTCACCACAGTGTCCCGGGTTCCGTGTGTAAATACTACAGCGGTGGTATTTAAAGTTCAAAACATCGTCTGGCTCTCAGGTAGCGTACTTGACATGAATCGACAAGTTGTGGTTTCCAGCTGGCTGACTGGCTAACGCTAACGTTTGCTCAGTTGTCATCAGGGAGTAAGGTTAGCTAGCGCTAACGTTAGCTGACTCCAGCTAACGTCGGTGATGTTTGATAGCTAAGGGAATGCAGAAATACAGGCCTTTGTCACGTCTTACCGAGTCCATCTGTTTCTCTTCTGTGTTCATGTGGTGTCATTAGCAAGCGCACGGGATAGCAAGCTTACATTTGACTTTGTGATTGCTAAAAGCTAAATGGGTGGAATCAGGTCAGTGGGTGGATTGCTAACAGTGCTAGCAAGCTAGTGTGTCTTATTTAAGGGGTTTGGCTACTCCCCATTAAATAACATTAGCTAACAACATTTCAGTTTGATAACGTTAACTAGCAATACAACGACTAGCTTATTAACCCATTGTATTTCCTTTTGCTGTATGTAAGTTAGCCGAGCCTGTCGTATTTCTGTGCTTTTAAAGTGGATGGCAGGGTAACTGGATAGTTAAAAAGCTATGGTTGGCTAACAGCAAATAAGCTAGCTAGACAACAAAAACAGTTTGGAAAATGGCGTCCCCCTCTAAAATCAAAACAGTTACATGGCCACAGCTGACATGAGCAAATTTGTTTACAGTCAACTAATGACAATGACTAATGACATATACAAATATTTTGTGACCATTGCAGTGCGCAGCGTTGATAGTTCCTGTCATAAGTCTGAGCAAACGCAGTTCAAGTTAACTGGTTTCTCGCAGTAGTTTCTCATGCGTATGTCTGTTTTCGTCATGCTTGCCTTTGTTTAAAATGTTTGTTGTCAAATTGTCTTGGTTAATGTAAAGGATAAATCCCCGGCCTAACTACCTCGGTAACGGCCTTACTAGTCGCTTTCATGCGCCATGTGTCGCAAAGCATGTTATTTAAACGCAGTGTTCTTCCCCATTCCTGGATATGTTCTGCATTTTAAGAAATAATTTGACACCTGTGTGCATGCGTTTTGTAAGCTAATATGTAATGTAGGCCTATTATGTTGTTAATATAGCCTTTGCAAAGCCTTGGGCAATATAAGTTAAGGATTTAAAGGCACAGGTTTCTGTGGTGTTGCAAAAATCTGCTTAAAACAGATCATTCTTTTAATATGTGACTAAGACATTATATATAACCCTGTTGATGTTTTGATGTATTGATGACTGACATAACATCAGCAGAAGCCAGCACAGACTGACACAACACAACAGGTGACTAGACCTGTCTTTGCCTTTATAAATAAATGACTATATTCATGCAATAGTATACCAGTTAAACATAACAAACATGAGCATCTGTACGTTCTGTACACCTTACAATGTTATATAATACAGTACAACATCATCAAAACTGTGGCTTCTCAGCGAACAATATCAACTAATGTGTGACTAATATGCTTTACAAATGTACATTTTTGCATAGCCATTGTACTATAATGCATTAGAGAGCATTTATGAGTATGATAAGGTATCTGTGTTTTTGTCAGTAGGCATAATATCCGCCTCCTGGATAAGGTGGTTGGTGGGGGATGCACGGTGAAAGTAATAATAGTCATTTTTGTGGTCAGTGATAAAATTCCCCGTATCATGCTCAGAGTAAATTCTCCTTGCACAATCGCGCATAGAATGCTATTCTCTCTTGACAACATCGTTTGTGCACAAATTAGTCAGCAGTTCAGTCCTAAATAAGTTACTAAGAAATGCCTGAATGCATGGGATGTATTCATACAAAGGTGCCTGCAGTTGTAACACACTCGAGTAATGTGGGTGGGTGAAACTCTGTGACAACTCTGACAATGCTTTCTTTGCTTGTGGTTACCGATGTGGTTGTGGTGGGCTTTCTTTGCCTCTTTGATATTGTCTGTGAAGGTTCTCAGTCATCCAGGTCATAGTTAACCAAGGAAGGTTAAAATCAAGGTCATAAGGGGACTGTTGGAGAGACACACCTACTGTGGTAACATTTTGTCAATGATTACATAGTTATATTTAAATGATGGCTTTGCATGTTGACTGATGACTAATTATTTAACTAATAAATATACATATAGATTTACTTTTTCATTACTCAAAGACAAAAGGAACATGAATTTATTGTGTAGCCTACATTGTAAGTATATTTTGTATTTTGCATGTTTTGTATGTAAATGTATTTATTGCTTTCGAGGGGAAACTGAGAACTTTACACACTTTATTTATTTATTTATATATATATATATATATATAATATTATTGTTGTGGAAAATCTGTAGAAGCCTGCTTGTTTTTTTTTTAAATGGCAATGTAGCACACAGCATACAGAAGTGTGATACTACTGGGCTGGAACTTGAATGTGACATGAGAAAGTATGGGTGTGAAATGCATCACTTTCAATGCACTGGCTCTGTTTTGAGTGGACTTTGTCAGTCAGGACAGGTGGAACTGGACAGGACTATTAAAATGTATTTATTACACAGAATGCGTCTCTATGTACAGTGAAGGTGCTGGCTAATTCTTATGATACTCCACTACACAGATATATATTAGAAAATAATATAAATTAAAAATGTTATCAATAAACACTGAACTGATCTATAATAAGGTGAGTAGAGCCTCCATACTTATTACTTCCATTGTTTTTTTTCTGTCTCAGTCTTTCTCTAATTTGTATTATAGGAATAATTTTTATATTCTTTGCACAGTTGTTATTCATCTGGTTTTTGTTGCATGATGACTCCTTTTGGCAGATCTCTAGTTCCCTTTAAATATTACCAATTACTTAAAACGACCACAAACTGCCCACACAAAACTAGTCGGCAGGGTATTTTTTTTCCACTCTTTGCTTATAGTAATACAGTAATTGTCATAGTATTTTGTTCTATTTCAAATCCCTCATATCAAAACAAAGGGGGGAAAAAGCAGGTTATTTAAGTAACTTTTCACAGCTCTAACCGAAATTGTCATCTGTGTAGACACTGTTTCCGTTAATATTTTGGCATCACACTTGAACTTTGTCAGCATTTGAGAACATTGCACTGTTTACATAAAATGTTGGAGCATATTTCCGTCGATGTAAGAAGATTTTTTTCTGTTTATTCCGAGCAAACACATGTTTATTATTCTTTAATATTCAGCAACTTGGTTTCTTCTGTTACGCGCAGCAGAAGTGCTGATAGTGAGGCACACAGGACACCGGGGGATCTGACTAGGTCATGGCCAATCGGGGAGGAGCTACGAGACCCAATGGACCCAATGCAGGGAACAAGATCTGTCAGTTTAAGCTGGTGCTGTTGGGGGAGTCAGCAGTTGGCAAGTCCAGCTTAGTTCTCCGCTTCGTCAAGGGTCAGTTCCATGAATTCCAGGAGAGCACAATAGGAGGTGAGTGTCACAGACACACCAGGTTGTACATCAGCCAGGTATATTTGTGACTGTATTTGCCAGATTTTGCTTTTTTTTTTGTAGTAATAATGTGTGATTCAGGACAGGTACACCTCCTCATAGCCAATTGGGTGCTTTGCTATTGTTATGACAGTGCTTTAAAAAAAGAACTCCAAATTAAAAAATAATTTGCAGACGTTTACCATTTCATTGTTGCAGTCAGGATTATGGACACATTTTTAAAGTGGAACTTGAATTAGTTACAAAATCATAACATAACAAGCACCTATCTCTTTTCCACATCATTTGAAATGGAATTCTACAAAGGCTACAGTTTGTCTCACATAAATTGATAATTTATGCCCTGTTTCCATGCATTGGAAAAAGTGCTGTTTGGTGTAGATGTTGATCATCTAATGCTGACTCTCCCCTTACCTTATGCTTTCCTTTCAGCGGCCTTTCTCACCCAGACAGTGTGCCTAGATGACACAACGGTGAAGTTTGAAATCTGGGACACTGCAGGCCAGGAGCGTTACCACAGTTTGGCACCCATGTATTACAGAGGAGCACAGGCCGCCATCGTGGTCTACGACATCACAAATGAGGCACATTTACTCCCTACTAAGCTCTTAATACAATTTTCCCATTCAATTTTAAGTCGTACAGATATTTGTCATATTCATGCCCTCAAGATGAAGTAAGATTGCTTCAAAAGAGCTGATGGCTTTTATGAAAATGACAGAGGCGCTATTTTTTCTATTTGCAGGAGTCCTTTGCACGAGCAAAGAACTGGGTGAAAGAGCTGCAAAGACAAGCTAGCCCGAATATAGTCATCGCACTGTCAGGCAACAAGGCTGACCTAGCCAACAAGAGAGCTGTCGACTTCCAGGTCAGAGCAAACTAACTGTGTCTTGACAGTCAGTCTTAATTTTTTCATTTCTTGGGAATAATAATATAATAAAACAAAATAAAATAGTGCACACAGCGAAGATAAAAACAATACAAAACATTAGGGCTGCTCGATTATGGTGAAAATCATAATCACTGTTATTTAACACGATTGATTAGTTACTGATTGACTTAGGAAACATCATGCATTTTAAAATATGCAAGCTTCATTTTCATAAAATATTATGCATTACCCCAAAAATCCCAAATAGTCCATGAAATAAGAAATAGTAATTGAATATTATTAACTTTAAACAGCATTTTGGAGTGCAAGAGGATGACAACAACGCAGTGTTTCCACAGGTTGACTGCTTTGGGGATGTTGTATTGCTGTATACACACATGTGTGTGCGTGTGTATACACGGAGTGGAGCAGAGCAGGTGAACTACATGAGTTGACAACAACTCGTTACGTTACATAATGCTGAAATTCAACCGGGGTGTTCTGTCAGCAGTTACTTAATTAAACCAACGGTGAGTAAGAAAAGTATAACTGGTCATACTTAATTCGTTAGAAGACAGGGAAATTGTGGATATTTAACAAGCAGGGACTTGGTAAAGCCAAGCTTAACACACCTGGTATAGTATAAGTATAAATAATATGGTGTGGTGATGGCGCATAAGACTATGCCTTTGGTGTGAGAGACCCGGGGTTCAACTCCCCACTGTGACCCATCCACCATTGTGTCCCTGAGCAAGACACTTAACCCCTCGTTGCTCCAGAGACATATATAGCAATTGTAAGTCAGCTAAATGAGTAAATGTAAATATGTAAATTGTCAAGCTATGAGTACAGGAAAAGCTGCTAGCTGCTAGGCTAGTTTATGTGACAGTGTAAAATGCTGTAGGCTAAAGCTAATAATGGGGTAGCAAGTTGGAGCAGTTATAACCCCCGTCATCTTGGCCTCCAGCTGAATTAAACATCACAGCCTGGCTTTTAGGGAGGGGCACCACTGTAAAGGAAAGGGTGTGCTGGATTTATAACACAAGACAAAACTATTCTTATTAACTAGTCATTGCAAAGTAGCAGGCAGCACACATCAGTGGAAGCCAAAATCAAAATCGTGATTAAAATTTGATTAATTGTACAGCCCTATAAAACATCAAATCTGATAAAACAATAATGTGCAAAATAATAGGTAAAATGCAGTAGATTTACTAAAAAAAAAGCCATCCTATTTTGAGGACTGATTTAAAAGAATGTACTGGCAAGATTTGCAGTCTCAATAATAATAATAATAATAATCTTTATTTGTAGAGCACTTTTCAAAAACAAGTTACAAAGTGCTTTAACAAGTGTAAAGACAATAATACCCAAGAGACAATCATACAAAAACAATACAAGATAAAAGCAAGAAAACATTGAAAAGACTAAAATACACGTTTAAGATAAATATAAAATAAGTTAAATAGAATAAATTAAAAGGGATAAAATAAAGTCAAATAAGATCAGGAAAGGCTCTCCTATAAAAGTATGTTTTAAGAAGGGACTTAAAAGAGTTCACTGACTCCGCCGACCTGATTTCCTCGGGCAGGCTGTTCCAGAGCCTTGGGGCCCTGACGGCAAACACTCTGTCCCCTTTAGTTTTCAGTCGAGACTCTGGAACAGACAACAGACCTCTGCCCGAGGATCTCAAGGTACGTGCTGGTGTGTATGGAACTAAAAGGTCAGAAATATAACAAGGCGAGAGGCCATGAAGAGCTTTAAAACTGATCAATAAAATTTTAAAGTCAATTCTAAAACATACTGGGAGCCAGTGTAATGAAGCTAAAATAGGAGTAATGTGGTCATATTTCTTTGTTCTGGTTAAAAGCCTGGCAGCTGAGTTCTGGACAGTCTGGAGTCGATCAATAGATTTTTGGGTTAAACAGGTGAAAAGGCTGTTGCAATAATCCAGGCATGATGAGATGAAGGCGTGTAAAATGGTCTCGGTGTCTTTAAAAGTTAACATAGATCAAATTTTTGCTATATTTCTAAGTTGATAAAAACATGATTGAACAAGCTTTGTGGTGTGCTGCTCGAAATTTAAATGACCACATCTAATTGTCTTTTCTTGTCCCCGAATGCATGCATATGTGAGGACGTATCTGAAAGTCATGGCGTTTATGTTGTTTTGACAGGACGCCCAGTCCTACGCAGATGACAACAGCTTACTTTTCATGGAGACGTCAGCCAAGACATCTATGAATGTGAATGAGATATTTATGGCTATTGGTGGGTAATTCTTGACACATTATTCATAATTTTGCCAGTGCATTTGTTGAGTGGTCATCAGAGCCAAATTGCAAAATCTTACACCCATGTCTGTATAAGTCAATGTAAATATTTTTTCTGATTAACTTCAGGGTTGAGGTTGGGCTATGAAAGTTTATTACATGTGTAACTTGTGCAACGAAAAGCTGCAGTTTATTCTACTGTTGTTTAGTTTGGTTTGTTTTTTCACTTCAGCAAAGAGATTGCCGAAGAGTGAGCCTCAAGCTGCAGGAGCCAGTAGCGGGCGGAACCGGGGAGTGGACCTGACAGAAGCTGCCCAGCCAGCCAAGGCTCCATGCTGCAGTAACTAACGTCAAGAACCCCCCCCCCCCCCCCCGACCAATCAACCTGTATAGCAGTAACTAATGTGGCCGATGCCCCGAATGCCACTACAGTTACTAATGCGATGTATTGTACTCTTATCTCCAAATCCCTCATTTGCAAAACAACAAATATACCCTGTGCCCCCCCCCCTTTCTTTTTGCAGTAACGAAGTCAATGCCATTACACTGATCTCTCCAAATGGCTCTGCCTCTTTTCCTACATGGTTCTGCTGCTACCTGGTTAAGCCTCCTAACCATTCAGTCCTACTTTCTGCCATCCAGCTTGTTACATCTATCAATTATTATTGATAGATTAATGATATTGCAGATATTAGAAACATTAGTGCACACCCTGCCTTCCATCATCTTCCTTCAAATATGTAGATATGTTTCATTTAGAGGAAGTGGTCACTTCCCTTTTCTGGGATAGCTTAAGACGTTACTATTGCATTTGTAATAACAGTTTTCTGTTTCAGTTCTTTTTTTATTTTGATAATTTTGATTATTATTTTTTGCTTTTTGTCAAAATTGTGGATGCACACACCTGTATACTTACATGGCCTAAAGTAGAAAAACAAAAAAACTGTGTTTTATCTTTTGTCTGCAGTAGCACAGACAAATCTAAGAAGGAGGAAAGGTGGATGGCGGAGAGCAAGAGAGGAACTCTACACATCTCTCTTGTCACTGGGACCCTTTTATCTTAGAGTTTAAAAACACTCATGAACTATAGTCCTGTTTCCCTCTGCCTGCCCATGTTGTGTCCCCCACTAAACCCAAAGTAGCACTAGTGTACATTCTCTTCTACCACCCCCAAGGCTCCATTCTGGGGCCATGCCTGTTTCTAGCTGTCCCTAGTGGCATTGTGCAATGTTTCACAGTATTTACTCTGTGAGTGTCTGCAAGGACCGATGCAGCACAGCAAACCATCTGTTCCACCCAACTTTCCCCACAAGAAGGCGCAGGGGTCTCTGAGGTACACGTCAGTGTCACCACCTCCCCATCTCCTGATGCAGTGTCCTATCATAAATCTTGTGAAGACCATTCCTTTGTTTAGGTCTCTTGGTTTCTGTCGTGGATGATTAAGCTGATGCCGATGACCTTTTTCATTGTGTTGATGTTGCTGCACCACTGCTGAGTTTGCTCCTGGTAGAAAGTGAAGGTGATGGTAGTGAGTTGGGAGTTGCAAGATGCAAGGCTGCTTCATAATCACCTTTGAATCATAATTATTTGTCATCTTCTTTTGATTAGGAAGTGCTTTAGACACATTTGTGTGTCAGCATGTACAAACTGAACACACATTTGCACATGAACACACACGACATTGACTTCTTCCTTCCAAACCCTGTCAAACCTAAATATCATTGTACATAAGCGCACACATGCACACATAGACTGTTACACCCTCACCTATGCACACACACACACACACACACACACAGTTACACGCGATGACTACACATTCATATACATACAGTACATCTGGTCAATAACTCTTTTTACAGGTCTGTCTTACTCATGCCTTGCACTAATGATGCTCATGAATATATCTTGTCATAATTACAGCCAGTGTGATTGATTGATATATATAAATAAAAATATATAAATATAAATATAAATAATATACTGTAAATAGGGTGTTGCAGTGTAGTCTACCTTTTTTTTTTTTTCTCTCGATTTACCAGTGACAGGACTAATGCTTGCTAGGGAGTTGTCTAGATAATCATAAAAAGAACTGTACAGTTAGTAGAAAAAAACAGCTACAATCTGGGTTTGGAGTTTTGTTGCTGTTCCTTTTTTCCACACAAATGGTTAAATTATAATCAGTGGTGGTCTTTATAAATGTATGTAGTGTTATTAACAAAAAATGAAACTGCCTTTATTTAGTGGTCTGTCTTGTACATTTTTTTCTCAAAAGAAAAAAAAATAATATCCAAACAGTTTGGTTTTCAATTTTTTAACATTATCACTTTCTTGCACTTCACGTATTCTTTTTTAATGGTATCGGGCTACGAGGCCTTGCGGAGTACTCATCCCTGTAAGTAGACCTGAACTTCCAGAGAGACTAGTTGTAAAAGCTCTGGAGGAGTCAGACCCACTACAAAACAGTTTGATTAACAGTTGGCCCCTCTATAACATCTCAGTAACCTTGTGAAGATATCATAGGAACAGTATAACAACTATCAGCTGGCGCGATGGTGATTCGTGAATAAATGAAATAACACAAAATAAGTTGTAAATTGTATGTTTTTTTGCCGTGAACACTTAATTACAGCTGAAAACATTTAAATGCAAGCATTTTACAGTACTGTTATGTAATGACCAAATAAATACTGAAATAAATTTGATCATTTATTTGTGTGTGCCTGCGTGCGTGAACGTGTGGAGTTGGTGACCTCCCACAGATAGTGATAGTTTTGGTTTTGTAGGTTGTTACAGTTTGATGCTCCTCCACCTCCAACTTGACATTGAATTGATAAACTTTGTTTTTCTCCTTTGTTTATCTCTGACCTTTAACCTTAAGGAAACTGTTTTTAATTGGATGCCATGTTCTTTTCCTTCATGAGTTTTAACAAATTGTAGTATGAACCAAAATGTATTTATATGTTTAATGTTATAATATGACATTCATTTTAATATAGTCTATACAATAATGTTTATTGGTATTAATTCCCCTTAATCTTGCATGAAATGACCATGGTTGACCGGTCACTGTGAGCTCAGACATGGCTCCGCATAGTAAGCCACTTTTTGACCTTGAAATTTTGCTACAAATGGTTGCATTTTGTGACCTCTCCTCTCTGAATTGTAGTGGAATTGGCCTATCCCATCTGAGTCCCCTAGCGGAGGAAAATGGGCCTACAGCGAGAAATTGAAAATAAGGATGAGCGCCATGTCTGATCCTCCGCTTGTGAAATAGAGCGGACCGCAGAGCGAATATTTCCCGGGCCGGGGGTCCCGTCGGGGTTCGGTGTGAATCATGGCCGACAGCGCTGGGATCCAGCAAGGTTCGCCGGCCATCGGGGCCGCGGGCTTGGTTCCGGCCGCTCCTGGAGCCGGGGGGACGGAGGGCTCTGGCGCCGCTGGAGGATCCGCACGTATCGCCGTAAAGAAGGCGCAACTCCGCTCCTCACCTCGGCCAAAGAAACTGGAAAAACTCGGAGTGTATTCATCCTGCAAAGTATGCTATATTTGCAGATAGCTGACTTTTCAAACACAGCTGTTTTTGATGGCTTATTCTTTATAAATGGTATTTCCTGGGCTTGGTTGCAATAGTTTACAAAATGCAAGCGCAGCAAAGGAAGCCATTGCCGCACTTCATTTTTTTTTCATTTTGCATGCACGAACCAAATATTGAAAAAGCGAAATCAATAATCTAGTTGATTCAAGCGTTATTATTACTGCAGGACTCTTAAGCAGAGGCCTTCCAGCTGCAAGCTGTCCGCTGTTTAACGTTACTGTCTGTCTAGGTGGGGGGTTGGTGAACGTAAACATTGGCTTGGCGCTGGGACTTGGGAGTAGCAGGGCTGTGGGCTGCATCCAGTGTGTGTGTGTGTGTTCGTGCGCGATCTGACGCTTTCCGCGGGAAATGGTACAGTGTCCCCGTGCATTCTGTCAACGCACAGTATTACATAGAGAGGATTTTATTGGGTTTATGCAGTGTATCATCCGCAGAGAGGGACGGGGTCTTTGTTTTGACAGGGTGACAGCTGCTTGGGGGGGCGGAGTTTGTTGTTGTTTCAGTGCGCATGCTCAGTGTGGCGGCTCCAGCTGACGGTGACAGGCCTTCTCACCCCACCCCCTGATACTGTACAAAGTCATAATAAATCTCCATTAACCTGGGCGGCAGGTCGAGTTTTAAATTTTACATCCTGCCATGGCGCATTTACTGTTTACCTAAATAAAACATTACCAGTAAAAAGTTTAGTGCCTGAAGTGTAGCCTGCTGTTTACTTTTAAGGCACTGATGTGATAGATCAAAACCAGAAATGCAAGTGACTAGCTATTAACAGTAAGATCACCTGTCAATCATTAAGCATCATAACCAACTTTACAGACAACAAATTATTTTGTTTTCAGAAAACAATTCAATCAATAAAACCTGCATCAGTTTATTGCTAATCATTGTGACAGTTGAGTATGAATCTATGTTGCACAGGTTAAAAACTTTGATGCAAAGTGGATTTACCACCCTCTCGTCTTTATTCCTGCTTGTACTCAGTGAAACTGTGTTTTTCCTAGGCGGAGGGAGCCTGTAAGTGTAATGGCTGGAAAAGTCAGAACCCCCCTCCTACACCCCCACGAACTGACCAGCAGTCCAGTACAGTCAACCTGCAGGAGCCCTGCCGGAGCTGCTCTCATACCTTGGGTATGTCAGCAAGTCTAGAAAAGAAGCTACAGTCAGTAATAATACTAAACGGCACAGAGAACAGGCTAAATGTGATGCCACTGATGAATAAACAACTTTTACTTTAATAATAATGTCAGGACACTTACCTTCTGGGTTACAACCATTTTAAGGGTTATTCTTCTCTTCCTAGGTGATCATGTGACCCATCTAGAAAATGTTTCAGAGGAGGAAATGAACAGGCTTCTAGGTATTGTCCTGGATGTGGAGTATCTCTACACGTGTGTTCACAAAGAGGAGGATGCTGATACAAAGCAGGTGTACTTTTCCCTCTTCAAAGTAAGCCTCTGCTTTTACAATCAAAATATACAAACACAGGATTTTACAACCCATGTTATGTACGAGTGAACATACCCCTTTTCTGCTTCTTTTTTCAGCTGTTGAGGAAATCCATCCTACAGATGGGTAAACCGATGTTAGAAGCACAGGAGAGTCCTCCATTTGAAAAACCCAGCATCGAGCAGGTAGTCCCATTTCTACATGTGTATCAAAGGCAACACTGTTCAACACAAACTAGTGTTTTAGTGTGTCCACATTCCCATTTGTTTATTTTCTCTTTCCCAAACAGGGCGTAAACAATTTTGTCCAGTACAAATTCAGCCACCTACCATCTAAGGAACGTCAAACCATTATAGAGCTGGCCAAGATGTTTCTCAACCAGATCAACTACTGGCAGCTGGAGACGCCCTCCCAGAGACGCCAGAGGGTTCCTAATGATGATGCAGCTGGATACAAAGCCAACTACACGAGGTAGCAGCACTGCCAGATGCCCTGTTAACATGCATCGCACCTGTTTT